TTGCTGTGGCGAAATCCAAGGTCTGATGTCCAAACCTAAAAAGAAGTCCTGCTTCGCCATACCATCTAGAATTTGTCTCTGTGATTGTTTTGCTTGGCTGTTGTGGTTCTTCGTGTTCTAAAGGACGTATGATTGAACCAACTCCATTTGAAGTATAAATGTGGTCAATGAAAATGTTTTTATTCACTCTTACCACGAGGCGTATTCATTTCCGATCGATTCGGGTGGTGTGGTTGCCCTGTAATCCTTGAAATATGTCAGCTGAATCTGGTTTACCATAATAACATGAATCCAGATAACCACACAAGGGATGATCATAGCTATTGGTTTCATGGTATTGTTCCACTTATAACTTCTATGTCACTGGAAGGAAAAGTATGACACATTTATTTGATAACGTGAAGAAACTGATAATAATAGTATGTGCTGCATGGACATCAAAGACGAATATGGAGCCAGGAAGACCGAAAACAGTCGGAATGTTTATTGTATGAAGCCATTATTTAACATTCATGTTGTATGAATCAAGATGAAGGAACTCGCCCTGTGCCTCATCTGTGGTTCAAGTGTAAATTCAAAAGGTCAACGCTGGAGAATAATTATTTTCAATAACTGCCCAGACAAATTCCCGAAGGCGTAAACGGCAAATTAGTGATGAAAATTGTGTGAATAGATCACCGACACACGGTGTTCGCACTTTCTGCTACACCGGTAGCACTCACCACTCATGCAGTTTTCATTGAAACGATGTGTGCCAGTGGGTAAGGAAGTGTAAAAATGTGCGACAAAAAACATTCCCATGGTCATAAGAAATCTCTAGTAAAAGTCTATTATAAAAGTCCACAAACGCATGATCAATCTGGTTACATATTCTTTAGTTCCATGGACTGTCAACCGACATATGTACGTAGTGTTTTTGTACGTGTGTGTGTGTGTTTCACAATCTTGCAAAGTCATACAAACTGACACAGACAATTAATTCAGATACAATTTGAACATACCTTTTGTAAATATTAATGTCATATTCATATGTCTTCTTGACAGGTTATAAACACGTGAAAGGCAGGTGGAGAGTTTTGAAAAATTGACGGGCGTCTGTTAGGATGTGGTCATGGGTTGTCTAATTACATGCATTAATAGTGAGTAAATAAGGAATTTATATATACTGAACCGCAAAAGAAACGTCACCCCAAGTAACAATGCATGAAAAGTTGTCATTGAAATATCTGGGTAATCCTTGCAAAGTTTCTAAAATTTTACATAACCTTGTCCGGAAAAATGAAAATTGATGATAAAAACCCCAAAGCAAATGACAATAAAACCGATCGCCCAAACGCACCACGGCAAAGGCCATGGTAACCCGATGCACGTGAGTTCCGTGCAAATTTAAATGTACATGCATTCCCCCATTTCTTGCCCTATAAAAATCCAGCCAGATCGGATAACATTCTTTCGTTTTTGAATTGCTACCACATGCCAAGATTGACAAGAAATCAGCGACACCAAGCCCTGGACCATTGCAAGCTGGACAAACCGCCCGGCAAGTAGCCTATGCATTTAAAGTCCACGTAAGGATCATATCCAGGCTCCAGCAACGGTACCGGACCACCAACACTACAGATGACCGACCACGTAGTGGAAGAACAAGGGTCATCACCCGACGTCAGGATCGTCAGATTGTGCGACAGCATCTCCAAGATCGCTTTGTTACTGCTCCGGAAACTGCTTGACAGACCAATGGGACACACCAGCCACACATTAGTGCGGACACCGTGCGTCGACGATTGACGAGCAGACACCTCCACTGTCACAGGCCACACCGAGGACCCATTCTGACACCACGTCATCGCCCGGACGGTCTTCAGTGGGCAACACAGCACCAGCATTGGCACCACCAGCAGTGGAGAAGAGCCCTCTTCTCAGACGAGCGCCGTTACTGTATCTCTACAGCAGATGGCAGAGAGAGAGAGAGAAAGAGAGAGAGAGAGAGAGAGAGAGAGAGAGGGAGAGAGAGTCTGGCGACGCCGCGGAGAACGTTATTCGTATGCTTGTGTTGTTGAGAGAGACTTCTGGGGTGGTCCGAGCATCATGGCGTGGGGTGGAATTGGTCTTGCACAGAGAGAGGCAATGGTGTCACAGCAGCTCGGTACATTGATCAAGTATTGAGACCACACGCCATACCTCATTTGGCACGACGCCGCAACCATGAGCTTCAGCATGATAACGCCCGTGCCCACACTGCGAGAGCAACAAGAGACTTCCTCCAGCAGAATGACATCAGATCCATGCAGTGGCCTGCCCTCAGTGCCGATTTAAATCCCATTGAGCACCTGTGGAATGAGATTCAAAGACGGCTGAATGACGTCCGACCAAGGCCGACAACTGCAAATGAACTGCGTCAGGCGTTCCTCAGAGTGTGGGCTCAAGTGCCTATGACCTTCATCAACCGCCTCATCCATTCCATGCATCGACGTTGCACGGCAGTCATCAATGCACATGGCGGACACACGAGATACTGACTTGTGATGCCACTTTCTCGGAGACTAATGTTGTGTTTCACTTTAAGAACATTTGACACTTTAATTTCAACCTTGATGATCAGTTTTGCCAAGTTTCATCTTTTTAATATGTCTCAAAGTATGTTTACAGTGTTTGGACAAATAAGGTTTCTCATATATCTATCCATGGTGACGTTTCGTTTGTGGTTCAGTATATATTGACTTATGTACTTATGTCCGGATCCTTTAACGAATTAGAAAAATGCCAACAAAATTATATACATAGAGCATTCATCACAAGTGTTTCATAATATGAGAATGTGAACGAGTGTGAGTTAATCTGTATTTGCTATTTCTCAAATGGAAAATTCGAATTACATCTGCAAAGTGTAAACCAGTAAAAACATTTCCATCGGCAAAGGTAAAAAACCCTTCCCTGGCTGTTATCACAGACCATTAAACCAAGCAGCATTTGTATGGGTTGTAGGTTACAGTGCTTCCCGAATGAGATAAAAGTGTTGCATAACACCCGCACTCCTTTTAATTAAGGTGCCCTATTTCTTTATAACCCGGGCATGACCTACTGAATCCACGACACACTACAAGTTCTTGTTCGCAGTGCTCTACTTCAGACATGTTCACGGTTTCACGGTCAATGCCATCCAGTCTGATTGAGCACTTGTAGGGTTTCCCCAAGCCATTATTGATTGCTGGTGCTCTCCTGTCCCATCAAGGGAATACAATTCCTATGCATCTTACATAGTCTCACTTCACGTCCATTAAGACGTCTTTTATATTATCGCGTTTGTATGTTTTGAGTATTAGACAGCAATGCGCCCTGGAATCCTTTCGTAATATTTTTTATTCCAAACCTTACTTTATCAGCGTGAGAGTTTAAGACGATTAACTTCAACTCTTCACTGAAGTCAATCTATTTGTACATGTACAAGTATCGTTATCTGTCTAAAAACCCTTTCCATATTCATCAGATTGTACGATTCCGAATTTATCATGAGCATGTGTTTATGAATCACTATCAAATAGCGAAAAGGTGAGCGTTTCCTAACCCTGCGGTGGCACCTGTCATAAACACATGCACATTCAAGTCAATTGTTCACCAGAAAGAGTACGGGATCATATGATATGTCAGAATAGGGAATTGCATCGGACATAATATTTGTCACTGATGCATCCGATAAGAAATTTCCTCCATATGTAAACCATACGGTTTTTTTAAAGCTTTACTGAGGCCTTGAATGTTGAAATCTTGATCGAACAACATCTAAGTACTATTCGTATGGCGCTCTTTGAAATCTTGGCATAAAGAGCATGCTCGATTGAACCTCAAAACTTGTGTAATGTAGCGCCAAGGGCTGGAACTACAGGAACCTATGTGTATATGTATGATAAAGTATCCAAAATGCACATACTCAAAGATAAAAAAAGTTATTACACGCCGTATCCTTATGTTTTGTGATATTTAAATATTGTTCATGTTGCGTTCATTTTTCAAATTTCCATGATGTTCTGTAAATGTAACATCAACGAAATATACAAACTCAAGTAGCCTTACAAGAGGGGTTTTCTAGCTGTTTCAAACTGAAGCTTAAAGTAAAGGTGGATTAATAATCTGGCTTCTGAAAACCTCAAAGGGTTTCCGTAAATATTTGCAACCTTTGAAGAGAACCAGATCAATTGTGTCAAAACATTGGCTTGTTCAACTTTCTAACACAACTATCCCGCACTCCAAACTTAAGGAAACACTCTCTTCCTTGACCCATGGGCACCAAGTGTGCTCTCCTCTTGAAAACAAGGGAATTTGGCCACATAGCACACGTTGTTTGTTTGTGTGTTGTCAGAAGGGCTGTATTCCTGGTAGCAAACCCGGGTACTCTCCCAATGTCAGTCAACAGATTGGAAGGTACCAAACCTAAGGCACCGAGAACAATGGGGAGTCGAACAACTAGGTACTTGGGATGCAAGCGTGACATTTCGAAAGCGAGATTTCATTGGATTTATCAAAAAGGACAAGATCAGGTTTGTTGGCCTGGATAGGTCTTAGGCTGTATACGGGCCTATTCCAAAGAATTCATTTCATTTTCAATGACGCCCTCTACATATTCCGGATCGTACCATGGATGGACCTCTGCGTCAAAACCACAAGCATGGCGGAGACGGTAATAAAAGGATCGAGCCACGCCATCATGTCACTTTAGATAAAGTCTTTGTGCCAAAGCTGGGCATCTACTGACAATATGTTGGACGGTCCAATTAAATTCATTCCATAATTTCCATTTCATATTTATATTTTTATGCAAAATCACACATTGACGGTTTTGAGTGGGAAGTCACTGGTGCTGAGCAGCAAACAGAAAGCCTTCTGTTTCTCTTTTCAGGCTATTATTATTATTATTATTATTATTATTCAGGCTATTATTATTATTATTATTATTAATAATAATAATCATATACTAATATCCACAATCCTTTTTCGAATTTCAGATATGTATTGTGATGGTGACATCCTATCTCACAGTGTGGACTCCTTATGCACTGTTCTCCCTTCTGTCTGTGCTGAGGATAAAAGTACCAGTCGCTGCCTCGTGTCTTCCAACCATGTTCGCTAAGCTCAGTTGTGCCTTGAACCCCATCATCTACACAGTCGGATCCAGTAGATTCAGACATGCCTTAGCCTCAGTCGTGCCGTGCTGCAGACCATCGAGCAGACTACGGACCAGGTCGGGAGCCCTCAAGTACAGACACACACGGTTTACCACTATCGTGAACACCAACGATTCTTGTGTTGGTCATGATCAAGTCAGAACAAGTATTGCAGGCAGGAACAAGTAATTTATATGTGTTGTGTTGAGAAGGTGTGTGATAGATGGATGATGTGAGTTTGTGAGTAAATATTGCATGACACCGCATCAGCAATCTTGCAGCCATTTGCGATGGAAAAATGTTTTGATGATAGAACGCGATTCCCGGACCAAAACGTTCGGTGCCGGATATACTGTACACGCTTTTTGAGCAGAACTTCATCTGGAAGAGATGCGCTATTGAAATTCATTGTTTATCATTACACTTAACTAAAGTGCTAACAATAAACCTATAAGTTCAACTCCAGTATGTATAACAGTGTATCTGTAGCTAATGTAGATATACATGAATCTACATGTTTGTGTAATGAACAACATTTTCTAAACAATATAGAAAATATATGATATACCTTTTAAAGAAAGTAAGTTTAAAAACAATAATGGTCGAAATGGATTTTTCAGTTACTACCCAAATCCTTAAATCGGTAGTTGTATGGTGTTATACTATTATTCGAAAATTATACTTTTATCAAGTACATATTTTGAAACATTAAGCCTCAAACTGAAAATAGAAATATATATGTATCCCTTTCGATGTTGTAAACTGACTTCATATATTACCCCCTTTTAATAGCCAGTGACACGGTGATAAGTGCGGTCCCCCTGAAGGACGGAGGTAGTTCTACTGTAGAAATTGTAAGGTATGAATGAATAAATGTCCTTAAGAGTATCTCGGTGACGTTACTGTCTGCTCGCCATAACCTTTTTATGCCACAACTTGATACATCTATCTTTCCTGTGTGACGTTGTATGACTTTTAGATATTTTACATAACATTAATTATTATTAAATCTTTGAAATGCATTTAGATGTGATACACATAAAGAAGAGAATTTATTGAGTATATATTTACTTCTTCATCAGGTGAATAAAATAATATATCTCTTCCTTATTAATTTTTTTTATCATTAATATATGTCCCGACATAGTAGGGATGCGCGGTTCAGATAACATTAATAATAATAATCTTCATGTGTAGAGGCGTAAGTTATAGTGATGATGAGTGTTTATTGCAGGGTTTAAGATCCTCCTACATATTATAGATTTTTATCATTTCAGGGTTCCCGTGAGACATGTGAAAACGTACAGAGGAGACATGACAAAGAATGGCATTTACATTGGCCCGGCATCCATATGCTTGGAGGCACAGTCATCCGCCTTTTAAAGACTTCAAGAAGATTCCGCAGCACCGAGTAAACGGCAGGGCATTAGTGCAACATCAATCCTTGCCACGAATCTTAATCAAACAGAACTGGTTGTGTGAAGTGTTTTCTTCAGATATTTACGGTGGACTATTTTGCTACTGCAAAAGACATATTTATGTGATTCGCTTCCTCGCAGTATGGATCATACGACAACATTCCTACTTTTATACGTCATACCGACCTCCAAAAGAAGCGCATTTAATTTTATAAACTGCGGATTCGAAGGTCCAACGCAGTTTTTCCGAGTGCCTAAACGAACGTACAAGAAGCTCGTTCTTTTTAACAATTCCTTACATTCAAAGTTGACTTTCGGTGGAACTTCAAAAGTCAAACACGATTTACATGGCAGATATCCAGTGTAACGTCACGTAGAGATGAAGCATCCCTTGTTGGTCACAAGAGGTGACCTATTGGATCAGGTGGTCAGGCACGGTGACTGGGTCGATAACATGTCATCGTACCCCGACTGGCGTTGTTCATAATAACAATCACTGGATTGTCTGATCCTGACTAGATAAATTACAAGCACCATCAAATAGCTGGTTTATTGCTGAGTGCTGTGTTTAACACGAAACACAGAGACAGACAAAGAGTAACCTTCGGGAGATTGTATTCTGTATTAACCATATAATAACATCATGGATGTGATTTCGAAAATAGAAAATATATTTTGACGTTACTCATGGACGTAAACATATAGCCTATGATGCCTCACTGTGCCTGTACGGGAAGATGTATGAAGCTTTCGGGGACCTGGGGGAAGCCAGTGAAGAGTGTGACGTATGGTGAGGGAAGTATCTCAGTTATCATGTGACGCATTCCCCAAGAGCGTATCAAATGTCATGAGGTTACTGACATCTGTAGTGGACGCATCTTGCTCGAGGTGTTTCAGACTTGGAAACCAAGTAGGGTGAGTTACTACCATGACTAAAAAGACAATACTGGTTGAAATGATTGGTTCCAGGATAAAACCACGTGGTATTTATTGTCCCGGCGGTAAAGTCGTTAAGGACTGAAATGAATTGTTTCAGGATAATGAACAGGCGCACGATGTGTCACGGGTCGGAACCGAGAAAAGTGTGCACGCCCTTTCAGTAGTCACGACGTTCCTGAATCAAAATGGAAGAAAGAATACGTGACATGTGATCGATTAAAGTCTCTTTAAGAGCCTTGTATTCTAACGACGAAGCCTCGTGTGAATTAATACTGGTATCGCTGTCACATGGAAAGAAAACAGCTACAAGGACAAATTGGAAGAAATATACACTTTCCAATTAGTTTTTTCAAAACTCAGTTGTGTATTCAGAATGTGCGCCGTTCAACCCATAGTTCACATTATACATTGTGTTCTTATATATTAGCTGATGTTGATACCAGGTGCTCGTGTCTTACCTTACTGGAAGCATCTGCCATTGGTGAAGGTCGGTTGCCTAACCTTGACCCTAGAAAAATGATTTACGACCTCTGTCACAAGATAGAAGCACAAATTCAAAAGAAACCAACATTTAAGACTTTGTTTGAAATTACGAAGGTGACAAAAGGTTCTCGGTGAACAGATGAACATGTTCTTCTCTACCTGTAGCATCTGTCGTGGGTGAAGGTCAAGGTCATAACCATTTTAGCCTAGAAAAGCATGGTACGACCGTCCAAGTCTGGTTGTTTTCGCCGACCAACTACGTCAGTTTAGCTGTCAGTAAGCAAAAGTGATGTTATAGACCAATCACTGTTGTATATTAAGTGGATACCCCTATCTGGTAGTTTGACATATTTTCTGTCCATTTTCTCATTTGTTATCGTATCGTATCTGTCCGTTGTTTGTTTTCTAAAAGTCTTGAATGTGAGTGATCCAATATCTCTAATGTCCACATAGAGTATTGTACACGTCCATTAGTCTTGCACTTTACAGTGTCTGTACCAAAGTACCTTAAAATCACTTCATCATATACATTTCTATTCAGATGGACAATATAACACTGGCTGTGGATCATATCTCTGTATATTGAAAATTGATGCTCAAACACTCCATCTATGGAAGTCTTGACATCCCGCTGGGGATCATAATATGTACCAACATTCGGTAGACACATTGGTTAATTCCGTCTTGAACACCGTCTTTGGGGCAACCAAAGAATGGACTTCCTGGAAAACCAAGTTCTCGTACTTTGTGTCTTACTGTCTTAATGTTAGTTTCAGTTAACGCCGGTTTGAACAGCATTTTGGTTGTAAATATAACGTTGTTAATATAAATTGGCAATGCATGAGAATAGCCATCCTAGATCTTCTGCCGAAACAGATTCCATTTGGCGTAAAGGGCAAACTAGTTGTGGAAATTATATGAATGGACCATGGAAAGTCAGTGTTCGCGGAAAGGGTACCCTACCGGTAGCACTCTCCATTCATACAATTTGCATAAAAACTAAGTATGTGCTGCCTGACGCCGCACAGCAGTACTCCTGCTAATGCGACCTCGGCCTGTAAATAAACCTGACAATCAAGTATTCGATGAACCAGAAAGTCCAGTGATTGATTTTGTTGAAACAAATAAAAACGATATGTTAAGCAAGCCAAAAGTTACGTCCTTCATAAACGTTTACCGATTTTGTTGGTTGTTGCTGAAGTATTCAATCTGGCCGAATCTTTGAAACTACGACCAGCGGATCCTGAGACGACTAAGGGAAGTAACTCACAAAAAATTGGCCACTTGTTCATATGAAGCACCTGTGCAAAACGATTAAAAACCGATCCATTTCTATGTGGACTATGTGTACTTTCTCCCATGAGTATATTCACGTGGTCCTTTATCACATATGTGTGTTTCACCGTTACCAAACTTCAAAATGAACGATCATATATATAGATACTGACGCACAATGAAAACGCATAATCATGTTTTCAAAAATCAGACATGATGTCTTTCTGTTCTCGATTCAGTTCCATTCCATTTCGAAGCATATCGAATGAGATTTTGTCCCGAACGATGACAATGTTGTGTTTGATTACCTCATGCCTTAATACACAGAGCAACCTTATTTGATTTGTGTGACCCTTTGTCAAATACATGTACAACAAAAATGCAAATTTGCGTTTTCAAAGTGTGTCAGTATATATCTGTCATTTATAATCAGTTTATGGTTCGTGGTATAATCGAGACACGAGTAATATCTCATATCGTTGTACTGAATCTCAGCTCTTATGTCAGTGCCTTTGTCCTTTATCTGATATTTTGACATAATCCTTTCTGTTTCGGGTCTAATGCCTGGTCACATATCACATAAAGATTAGTTTACGATGCCGGAAAAGGCTGAAAATCGGCAAAATTAAGAGACACCCGACGGGGCGCCGGACGATCATCTGTGAGCATTGGCCATGTTTTTAACATCGGGAAGACCCCGGTGGACACATCGGAAGAAAATATCTCTGAGTTATTTTCTTGCGGTGACCGGTGGTCCACACCCCCATCGGTAATGGATCTGTGACTCTATCTTCCGGAAGCCTACCAGTGACCCTCCAGGCACCTGCCAGACCATGAGGGAATCGGACAATTTTTGCAGTGCGCGGGTGTGGTATGGTCATCGGAGGATAGCCGAAAGGCCATCTGCCGGGAATCGGTCAATACTCGGAATGTTCCCCTCCGGTGACCGGATGATTAAGCCAAGTCGTTAGGTGACCAATCGGAGTCAGGGAAAGCATCGAGCAGGCGCCGAGCGGGTATCATTCATCGGACACCGGAAATGTTGACGTGCCTGTTCCGGAGTGTATAATGGGCTGAATAGGATGAGCAGCATAGAATGTCTTCAGGATGCCTGTCCCTCCACACACACTGAGACTGGCCTGGCTCCGAATACAGAACGCTAGAGCCCGAAGCTCCCTTTGCCTTTCCACTCTTCATGTCCGAAGTTTCAGACTTCACAGATTCACAAAATCCACTGAAATGGGATACAGTTATTGCAGCAATTTCGACGGCGAACACGAACTGTGATTGGCCGGGCACTGAGCGGTCTCCTTTTATAGCGGGCAGGAAACGGGCGGTGTTC